GTATTCCATGTGTAATTAAGTTAATGAATTATTCAAGAATGAAGTGATTAATGTTTAAGCATGGCTTTTCGATCTTTAGTTTTAAATTAAAATATCATTAGAATATGATTTTAAACATGTTAATTTAAAATAATATTTTAGTACTTAAATAGTTTTTCAATTTGGATTATTTAAATAAAAAGTACTCAAAAATTTTTAGGATAAAGATGAAGTAGGTCGAATGAAAGAAGAAATGAATTTAAAAGTATTACTTGATGGTTGTCCTCGAGAAATGTACGATATCGCGACGTATCTCAAATCTCTGGAATATCTCGATGAACCTAATTACGAAGTACTAGAAGTCGCGCTAACACGTATCATTATGCGGTAATAATTAGCATTTGGTATTTTGTTTTTCTTTTAACACATTTAATTATTCATTCACAAATAATCATATCTTAATTAAATGACTTATGAATATGTCATTATCATGTATACCTTTTCAAATGGGAATATGGATTATTACAATGCAGTAATAAAATTGTTTTTCAATTCGGATCAGTCATTCAATATTAATCATATCACCAGAAATTTTCCGATGGTACATTTTAATATTTGAATGTATGACTACTCTATTATAATATCAGGCATGGGATAAGTCTCGATGAGCCTTATGATTGGGAGATTAATTATGAAAATCTTGGATCGAAAGTTCGCTCAAATGGTCAGTTTTAAATTTCAAGTTGCTTCTAAATGTTGCAGGTATTATTAATTATGAATTAAAATATTTTAACTACAAATTACATTTGAAATGGTTTACATTTCGAATAATCTAATGTATTTTGCACATTTTTTAATGCATATAAATGAGTTTACACAATCTAGTCAGTTTATAGACTGTAATTTCTTCTTTTAACCCTAATAATCATTTTATTAATTTCATATGTAATATATTTACAAAAGTTGGCTTTGCTTAAATTAATTTACATATATATATTCATTGAAATTTGAATAAATCAATTACAATATATATATATATATATAAAATTTTTTCTACAACTTATGTATGTTCAAGATTTGCAGGTGTAGTTGCAGCACGTAATCGTTCACATACAACTGCACTTAAAGATCGTTTGCCAGAAGAAAAAAATAAGTAAATATTTCTTTTTTTAGATTGTAGTTCAAATCTGAAATATTTCAAATTGAAATATTTCAAGTTTGAAATATTTCGGTACTTGTCAGAGAGTAAGTTAGAAAACTTTATTGAGATTACACTGAATTTATTAGAAATTTATGTGTTTTTGAAAAGTTTTTTATAATGCTGGGATTAGGCAGACAAGATGAAATTAATCACACTTTGCAGCTTTGAGGTAAATCAAATTTTTGAACTAAATTCAATAATAAATTTTATTTTTTGAGTACTTAAAAGAATTATTTATGAATTTAATTTTTATATTTGTTTAGTATATAAATAATTGTTTCTCTTTTTTAAAAATTAATTCTCTTATAAATTATGATAAAAGTGAGAAAAATTTTTGAGCAATTTTTGTGGAGTAAAAAATATAAAATCTATAAATTTTAAAAATTTATAATTTTTAAATTATTTCAAAATTTAAAGATTGTTTTACTTTTTTACTGGGAAAATTTAAATTATAAAAAAGTTTTTGACCATTGTGTTTAAGAGTGCTTATAATATTAACAGGAGGGAAAGTTGAAACTAATTTCACTTTTATACTATTCTACAAGCGACAATTTTTTTCAGTTTTTTTTTTTTGATTTTTATTAAAAATTTGAATTAATTGACGTTTTTATAAAAAATTCATGAAACAATTGTGTGATTAATTTGTAGAGGATTAGATACTCAAGCACCCATTACTATGGGGGATGATGAAGATGATCATGACCATACAGGTCAGCATGGAAAATATCCATCAGTTGGTGACAGGGATGCACATGATAAGCCAAAGTATAAACGGCAAGAATTTATGAGGTATTTATTTTGTGAAATTTAAAGTTGTATATTTCTGAAAATATTTAATCTTTTTCTTCTAAAAAGTTTTCTACTTATTATCATTTACATTTTTGAACTCAAGAAATAATTTAAAAAACTGTGATTGAGTACAGCAGAATATTTCTGGGATCATATTTAAGCTTTATGAACTCGAGCCTAATTTGGAATTCCTAAATTCAAATTAGACTCTAGGCTATAAAGCGGAATTCTAGATTTTGCAGCATTAAACTATATTTACATCTCTGTTATATTTGTATTTGTATACATGTATTTGCTCAAATTTAATTTGATATGTACTTCTTTCTTACTTCCTTTCAACTTTCACTAGTAATAAAGAAATAATTATTTTCATCAGTAAATTTGAATTTTTTGAGCATTTATTCTTCTTTCTGTGAATACTTGTGCATATAAATTTAGCATTTTTAGGCCCAAATACGGTGCAGTGAACTTCGACGTGATTGACACCGTAAACGCAAGGTTAGCTGCTGCGGTTGCTTCGGCTGGTGGTACCAATGATATATTCAGTAAATTAAAGATTGAAACCTCACTTGACAATGATAACAAGAAAATTGGCGAAGTGGAAGTAAGAACACTTTTTCCTACCATATCTATATTTTTTTCGACTTTGTAACAGGAGGATGTCGAGGATAATAATACATTGAGCATAAGGTATTCACTGACATAAGCTGATTTATCTAGCACTAATTCACTCTATACTGTGATTATCAGTATTGCTAATATTGTTTGAAGAAAAGCTAGCTAGATTTTATCGACTTATAATATGTAAATTAGGAAAGATTAATGTATGTGTAGTTAAAAATTCATATGTATATGTAATTTAAATTCGAATTTATAAATTAATAAATGCAGGGAACATTCCAAGTACCAACAGATATTGCCAAAAAACAAAATGGTACTCAAGAACACGTAAAGTCATCACATCATAAGCGTCATAAGACTGTTCCACCCAATATCGCGGAAAAAAATTCAAAAAATAATCACTCATTAACTGTAAGTTTATGATCGTTTTTAGACATTCCTGAAAATAATTTATTCCTCAGTCTTTAGATTGCAAGCGAAAACTTACAATATCACACTATGGCATATCGCATAGTTCTCGCTATGGGATATAGCTTAATTCTAATTATTTTTACTTGATCAAATATTAACAAGTAATAGACTGCATGCATTTAGGAAAAGCTATGATCAATCAATAAAGTAGTAATATGTACAAGAATGATAAATCTTCAGAAATTTTGGGACACTCAGATATTTTATCAATCAGAGCAAAAATAATTTCTGAACAACCAAATATTTAAATTGTTAATATGAGTAAGAATCGCTTATCACATACAATCTTCTAAATTACATTATGCATAATGATAATTAATCGCGCTATCAAAGGAGAAAATTAAGCTAAATTATCTGTATTTTCTAGCGGTCGTTCAATTCGTTACGACACAGCAAGGTTTTTTCATCCATTTTTGAGTGCGTTCATACGTTATCTATTTACAATCACCATCACTTTATTAGAAAAGAACAAAGCAGCGTGACCTCAATTCCCTAGCATTGTAGTATTTTGGTTTTTTCTTCTTTTATTTCACATTCTGAAAGCACATATATCTGCACCACTCTCCTTCACTTTCCCAATATTGTTTCATTTTTGCGTGCACTTTTCGTGAAAGCCTCAAACATAGATATTGCCTAGATATTTTTTTGCAACCTTAGAAAACACCTGTAGTAGTCCGAGACTACTACAAGAAATCTCTAGATACAAGTATTGACTTTTCTGTGAAAGCTTCAAAAATATTGCCTAGATATTTTTTCGCAACTTCAGAAAACACCTGTGATTCTAATATCGTGTGTAATGTCACAAAAACAAGGAAAATAGAAATTACCAGCACTTCTACGCCAGAAATAATTTATAGTTATTAGTCCACGTTTGATATTTGATATGGATTGATAACAGTTCGTAAATTCAGTTGAAGAATCTCCAAATTTTTGTATATTTTCCTGTTCGTTTATTGTTGCTTTATAAGGTCTGTCTCTGCACGTAATGCAATGTCTTACTACCAAACGTTTTATGAAGTATTTTTATTTTTTCCCTAGCGGACTTCAATTTTTGTTTGTTTGTTGCTTTTGTACTTGTATTTTCGACTGAAACGAAAGAATATGCTAGACTTAGTAGCTTATGAGAATCTGCTACAATCAGAAAGCTTTGTGATAGAGTAGTTTCATTTCTTGACAAGCTTGACAAAGTTTTATTTTTGTTAAAATTTTTAGAAAAACTGAAATTTTTTCATATTTTACAAGAACTAATTCTTCTTAAAAGCTAGAGTATAACTTCCAGCTTTCGAGCGGGAAACGGTATAGCAAAAAAGTAAGTCGCGCAACATCAACAGTTGAGCAAACGTATGCACAAGCGGATACAAATACAGGCGCAAATAGTCAGCTGAAAGCGGCAACAATTGCAAGTCGATGTCAAGGTAGAAACAGTAAAAATTATAATTGCTAACACTTCTAAAACATGGATAAAGAAGCAGGACATAATAGAAATACTGACTCAAAATGTACTGATATTTTTGTTTTTTCTAGAAATCTTATGATTGTTGTGCCAAATGCGTTCTGATAATCAATATATAATGAGTAATTAGGCGTAAAAAAAATATTTGATCTATATTCCTAATGAAATCTTTCACTTATTTTGATGTACTTACTGCTCGTCAATTCGGTTTTTACCTATATAAATGGACAAATACTATAAAGATGTTTAGTGTAAACGTAAATCATTAATTATCTCTAATACTTGTCTATTGCAGTTCATATTCAAGAAAACATGCTAACTACAAATTTTTAACTCATTTTTACTAATACTTTTTTGATGCCTTGATCCTTATTAATTTTGGTCACTTTATTTTGTTGATTTTCTTAAGGTTCATTCGACGATGTTTTTGCTGACGGAGAAGAGCTGCAAAATGTGAGCAATAGACAAACTGAAAAATCAGACAATAACGGTAGTAAACGTTACTTTTAAAACTGTTTTGTATGTTTAAATTCAAATTTATTAATTTAAAATTAAAAAATGTCCATTTTCGAAAACTAAAAAGAAAGTTTTACCATTTCTCATAAAACAACGTTTTTACATGAAATGAAACAGATCTAAAAAATTAGATTAATTTGATTGAGAAAAGTAACAGAACACTCAATTCTATAGCTGAAGCAAGTTTTCATCCAAAATTCTTGTAGCTACACGACCGAGCATACATTGTGGTAATACAAACAGCAAAGGAGTGCCCAACGTAGCGAATTCTTCAGCATCCCACGTTCCTTCATACAATATTCGCTTGTTTACAGCGGCATCAACTTCAGGACCAGCTGTAACTTCACAAACTGCGCCTGCAGTATCAGTATCAAGTCAAAATCCAGTAACTCCAAGTGTAGCCCGCACTCTGTTTACTGCTCCACAAGCTACTTCCGTGCCAAAAACAAACTTTCGTCCCGGCCTACACGCAATGGTACCAACTAGTAGCGCTGTGCAAACAGCTTCCACGTCACTCATGATGCATTTTAAAAATCTTGTAAATGTAAGTTTAAATTCTCTCAGAATCCATCACAAAATAATTGAATTATGAGGAAAGTGTAAATATTTCAGGAAGCCAACATAGTTATCTAAAAATACTCTGTCTTAAGTTTTATTCCAAAAATTTGACTTCAATGAATTTGTATCTATTTTTTGTTATGACTAGATGCTCAATAAACCAGAAGGCGTTTCAACCTCAGAATGCTTTCATTGATTATAATTCATAAGTTTTCCTACATTTTTTGAGTGCATAGTTTGCTTCCGATTAATACTTGAAAAACAAAAACAAATTACTTTTGTAGACATTCAATTCTCTGGGAAGTAATAGTGGTACTCCTTCCACAGCATTCAGTTCTTGTAACCGCCGTGTAGGAACAAGTCGAGAATGGGTTGCCGTGAATGGTAGCAAAGCATATTCACCACAGTTTCATCGAACCACAGCACAGTTGAGCACTAATTACGGTTTAAATCATTCTGGTATTAACAGTAGCAACACAACGCCCGTAACTATAATGAACAATTCTCAGGTTTATTTTATATTACAGTAAACTAGATAAAAATTTTATTCACGAAAGGGAGATAAACATTTTAAAAAATAAGTGAGGGATTTAGTAAATGATAAATCTCCCAAAATTAATTAAATTAGTATTTTACAATCATTTTTTATATCACTTTAGATGATATCAATTGATTAATTACTTTTCAAGTTGTAATTCTAGATCGAAACTAAGAATACCAGCGATCAAGAAAAAGAACTAAGACGACAACAACGCTTACGACGAAGATCTGATTGCCGAGGGATGATACCAAATAACGATGTAATCACTTTTCATATTTCTCAGGAAAAGTACAAATAAAAGTGAAACTTCAAGAAACAATTTCCGAAGTTCAAAGATTAAAATACGTAACCAAATACGCAAATTTTCAGCTCACGTGGAGAAGCCCATCTCAAGAACCTATGGGAGAAATTATTCAAAAGGGTGTTTGCTTGACAGGTAATGATGGCTCTTTTGTACGGCCTGTTAAAAAAAGTATGAGTGAAATGCGTCTCTTGAATAATGGAAACGAAATTGTAACATCGAGAGAAGGTGTAAATCAAGCTATTGAGGAAACAAAACGTCATATACTTAGTTTAAGGTTACTTTATTACTTACAAGAAAGTAATAAAAACTTTAAGTAAAAATTAAATTTAAGAAAATTGTATTTAGATTATCCATAAATATTTACGTACGAGTATCAGATGCTTCTAGTCATATGAATTAGTTATGTAATTATTATCTTCACTTATAATTATTTTATTTTATTTAAAAAATAATCTTTTTATAAATTAAAGTGTTGCTTTTTTGTTGTTCTGTTTTGTTTTTTGAAGTTTTTTGGATTTTTTTTTTCAAACTTTCACGTCTTTTCTTTTGTTTTTACTGGAAAATTTGAAAAAATTTATCAAAAAACTGAAAAATTTTTCTTTTTTATTCATTTCAGTGACTCACTTAGTCGATCATTTGTGATCTTTTTCCAGTCGATAGAATGTTTGATTTCAGACGGAAAAGATATCAATTTCTTGGATTAACTCCGCCAGCCCCACGTACGGCTATGCAATCCTAATATTCTAAAGGTTACAAAAAAATTTTGAAAAAAAAATAAAAAGTGTTGTATTTTTAACTATTTTTAGTAACATCAATTAACATTTTTTTGAATTTTTTCATCTTTATTAACACTTACTTTTTTTTCACCTAATAATATCTAAATTGAATTGGTGCACTAATTTTTGCTTCAGAAATTTTATGATAACATACATTAATAATAATTATTAATTACTTTAACAGAAACTCTTAATTCGTGTTTTCAGTATCTTTTAGCTTTATTCAATTAAGTGATAATTTGTTTCAGCTTAATAATTAGTTCTCTCAAAGAAGTCGATTCAGTGAAGCACTATCTATTGGTCATTTCCTGCTGGCTTAATCACGTGAATGATTTTTGAGTGTAAAGTTAGAACGGAACATGTAATTATTAAAAGTTTAATTAATGTTTTGTGCATACTTCTAATTTGTACTTAAGTGTACAGTAAGGTTTTTATGTCTTGTCTGTTGAATAAGGTTTTGCTACACAATTATTAGGTGAAAAAAAAGTGAGTGTTAATAAAGATGAAAAAATACTGTACACTTACTTAAGTGTACAGTAAGGTTTTTATGTGTTGTCTGTTGAATAAGGTTTTGCTACACAATTATATTTTTATAGTGGTATGCAATTTGATATTTATCTCGTATTTGCATAATTTTGTGCAAATTTTGAATGCCTTTTCAAAGTGGCTTATCGATGTACTGATTGAAAATTTGAATTTTCAAACAATTACTATTATAATTTTTGCGCAGACAAAAAGTTTTGCCCTTTTTTCGGGTTGAAATTTGATACCATTCTCATATTTGCACTGAATTGCATAGGAAACGTAATTTGATTAATAATTTAATAACTTATTATTGTTATACTTAATTAATTTAGATATCAAAGTCGTTTGTTCTTAAGTGTTGTTTTCTGTTTGCTGCTAGCTTTGATATTTTGTTTTCAGTTCTATATGAATGCATTTATTTATTAAACCTTTACAACAGCAAAAAACGGTCGCACAACACTGATCTACACTTTATATTTGTTCTATTGTTAAATTTTATATTTAAATTAATGTAAGGATTTGTGAGTATGTAAAAAAAGGCTTTTTGGTGCAGATACAATACTCTGTTTTGTTTATATTGTAGAAATGATTGGAGATTAGCCCAGTGATAGAAATGATTGCTCATTAGAATGGTATTTGCGCCAAAACGGATAAGTTCGAATAAGTAATTGAAATAATTCTTTCTTTGTATTAATCTAATTTGTCTTTAACACGTAAGCAATGACATACATTTTGTATAATATTTGAACTTTATTCTTTTTAAAATCAGTTTTATCTATTAGGGAATTTTGCGAATAAATCACTTGGATGCACACAATTTTATAATAATAATGTACTGTCGAAAATATGACTATTGAAAGATGTTTGCACCATTCGCTGCTATTGACCCCATTTTTGTAAATTTTTATGCAAGATAATTTTTGTTTATTGTCTTTGCAAATTCTATTCCTAAAATAGTGTATATCATAGAGAGGTCAAAGGTTACGTCATATTATCAAAATCGGTTAAACCTACTGAAAAATGATTTACATAATAAGCATAAGAAAAATGTGCATGAGCAACAAAAGAGAAATAACTTAAAAGTAAGGTAAAATTGTTAAAAATGCCGCCAATACTACTGACAATATACAGGTATATTTGTTTAATCAGTGCAGATAACCCCAAATGATTATCAGTTTATTGATAATAGTTTTTCTACTGACATAAATCATGCTGAAGTATCAATGCTTTGTGTGATAAAAGGTGTTAAGGAAGTGATTATGGCATCGTACTTCCACATTTTAGGTGAAGTGATAACGATGAATATGCTATCGTAATAATTTATAATTTTGGTGTTATCTTGAGGTTAGATATTAGTTTAAGTTGTTTTTTAGCACATAAGAAATGACATAAATTTTGTCTGGTGTAAAGGTAACACGTCTGTTGCAATTATTTTTGTTTCTTAGCTAATACCAAATTTATAATTTATT